GGCCGCCGCGGTGGCGCGCAGCCCGCCCCTCCCCCGCCCGGTGAGGCGGGAGGCGGTCGGCGAGACCCCTCAGGAACCGAAACTGCTGAGGCTCGGGAGCCGAGACGCTGGCCGGCGGGCAGCGAGTGTCCCCTGTGGTACTTATTTTTAAACAGCCGAGTCGTATGCCAGCGAGCTGAGTTCAGATAGTCTTTGTTTCTTGGGAGTATCCCAACCTCGGATTAAATATGGCGTTACAAGCTGCACTAATTTGCTTGAGTTAGGACCAAGGGTTACATAGCTCTATAACTGACCTCATGATATGCATAAAATATCTGTAAATCTTGTGATTGAGTGCAGGAAGAACTTTAGCAATAGTATTGGCAAACATTTTATTCTGTTGATACTTCAGTCATCTATGTATTCTGTTCATACTTTTTCTATTAACTGCATCTTCTACAGTAAGTACTTAACTTACACTCTACACTTTTATGCAGCCATCTCAAATTTCACAGTTTTCAAAATGGTGATCTGAATTCCCACAGGTTTGGTCGTTACAGGGTCACTGCTGACAGCACTGCCGAGCAATCTGCCACACTGCTGCCTGCCCTCAGGCTTCCATCCCAGCCCTCACAGGTGTCTCCCAGGTTTCCATCCCTCGTGCCTCAGACTCCAGTTGGGAGGTCTGTGGACCAGGGGGGTTTTTTGCCAGATGTCTCCACATGTGGGCAGCAGAGCACTTACCCAGCAGGCATCTCAGAGACCCAGGCAAGGATCTTGAAGAGCCAAACGACTCGTACAAGACCAGCAAGCCTTTGGCCACATTACTGAACTTGCCTGTTGTTTGCATAATGGTTAGATGAGCACCCAAATTTAGTCAGTCTAATCACAATGTTTTTAAAAATCGCAGTGTTGTTCTTTCTCAGGAGTAGGTTTGTTATTGATTGGTTGATGCAGCAGTACTACAGGTCTCCCTTGCTCTGACAAAGAGCTAGCAAATAGCAGACTTGAGTGACAAGAGTCTTCACCCGAGTGAAAGCAAAGTGCAAATGATCTCTCTAAATCCATACTATTTGGCAGGAATTTCTTCAGAACCCCTAAAGTTGTACAGCATGAGGAGAGAACTTTCTCTGACCTTTTTATATTCCTGCTGCTGAAGATGAATGTGAAAAATAGGGGCTATCCAATTTGTTGCTCAGTAAGTGCAGTGTGGGTTATATTATCATAGTTTTATTCAGGGTTAAAAGTGGTTGGAAATAAAAGAAGCGAGCCAAAATATGGGACAGTTCAACAGGAACTGAAAGGCATCATTGTGTAGTTTACATCTGTCCAGTCATGATGGTCTATCTTAGATACTGCAGATATATTAGAGGTAAAAGGCTGTAACTAATTTTATGTTTTAAATTACAATTCTTGGAATTGCTCTGGTCATGCTACAAAACGAAGGCTGATTTGTTTGTTTTTCAGATCAGCTAAACTGTTAATGAGTGCTGACAGCAGTGAAGAAGATATAGATGACATTATTGATGAAATCTGTAATGACAGCAGCTTTACCAAAACACCTTTGGTAAGTAGGAGTCTAGACAAATGCAGAACAGATGAGGTTCAGCGATGGAAAGAAAAGCACCATAAAGGAAAACTGTTTTAAAGCAAAAAATGGACTAAAACAAGCTGTGAGATGAGCTTGGAAAATAAAAGCAGAAATGAAAATGCAACAATCCTATAGTGAGGGACAGGAGAGATATAAAGAGGCAGCCTTACCCAATGCCCATTCAAGATCGAGCATAATGTCAAATATCACAGAATCATAGAATGGTTGAGGTTGAAAGAGGGACATTTGGAAGTCATCTGGTCCAGTTGCCTGCTCAAGCATGGCTACCTAGACTGATTGACCAGGACCATGTCCACATGGCTTTTAAATATCTTGAAGGATGGAGACTCTACAGCCTCTCTAAGTAACCTGTTGCAGTGTTTGACAAGTGTTTGACTTCCTCACAAGAAGTAAAGAAGTTTTTTCATATGTTTAACCGGAATTTCTTGTATTTCAATTTGTGCCCATTGCCTCTCCTCCTGTCACTGGGCCCCACTGAGAAGAGTCTGGCTATGTCTTCTTTATTCTTCCTCATCATGTATTTTTATATATTGATAAGATTCTCCTGATCCTTTTCTTCTCCAGGCTAAATAATTAGAGCTCTCTTAGCCTCTACCTGTATGTCAGATGGTCTAAGCCCTTAATCACCATTATGTCCATGTCTCTCTTGTACTGGGCCATATCGTGTCTCTGAGGCCTTATCTGGAGTACTGTGTCCAGTTCTGGGCCCCCCAGTACAAGAGAGAGGTGGAGCTACTGGAGGACCTCCAGGAAAGGTCCATGGAGATGATTGAGGGACTCGAGTACCTTTCATATGAGGAGAGGCTGAGAGAGCTGTGACTGTTCAGCCTAGAGAAGGATCCAGGGGGATTTACAGATGTGTGTAAATATGTGATGAGTGGAGTAAAGAAGGGGCCAGGCTCCTCTGTAGTACCCAGTGACAGGACAAGAGGCAATGGGTGCAAACTGAAATACATGATGTTCCATCTGTACACAAGAAAACACTTTTTTACTGCGAGGGTGGTCAAACACTGAGACAGACTGCCCAGAGGCTGTGGAGATTTTCTAGATGATCTCAAGAGGTCCCTTCCAACCAAAATGATTATGTGATTCTGTCTCACCAGTGCTGAGTAGAGAGGAAGGATCACATCCCTTGACCTTCTGGCAACATTACTGCTAATGTAGCCCAGGATGCTGTTGGTCACCTATGCTGTAAGGGCACACTGCTGTCTCATGGTCAACATCAGACAGATTTCACATGGCCTTCTCTGCAAAGCTGCTTTCCAGCTGGTCAGCTTCCAGTGTGTTCTGGTGCATGAGGGTTATTCCTCCTCAAGGTCAAGAGCTTGCATTTCCCCTTAGTTGAACTTCAGGAGACTCTTCTCGGCCTATTTCTGCAGCCTGGGGAGGTCCCTCTGAATGGCAGCACAGTCATCTGGCATACCAACCACTGCTCCCCATTTTGTGTCATCTGCAAATGACTTGGTTGCTTGACAGCAGGAGATGGAGATGAAGCTGAAGATTTACATTGTCAAGACAGAATGATAGAAGACATTGAAAACAGATACTTATTTAGGTATCATCAGTAGAAAACTGTGTTATTTATCTTCATAACCCCCTGTGCAAATTATTTTATTTTCATGAGTGACATTGGTTTTGCTTTGTCTTGGTTTCCTTACAGAGTGGCTAAATCTCAACCAACAAAGAACATTCATGTACCACAATGTGTATGTCTGAGTGAGAGAGAATTATGTCAGTAAATTTGTATATCATTTTATATCTCTAGGACTTCCCATTTAGAATGTAGAATTCTATTAGTCTAGAATTCAAATAAATTGTTTTATGTGCAGCAAATAAATTTTTCAATGACATTTTACCTTCTTGAATAATGTAAGTTCTTGATGTGTTTTTAGTAAAACAAAAGCTCAAAAACAGTGAGGGAGAAGGTTACTAAATTAAAACTGCCTTTAAAAGCAAAATTATTAAAAAGAGGGCATGAAATACTAAGCCTTGACTATATAGTCAAAGTGATCATGTGGTGTTGAATTCCTTAGGTAGCGCTGGGAATTCACTATGGGAAGAGAAGCCTCATTCCTCAGTTATCGGTTACTTCAGCAGCTTTTGTCTCAGAAACCCTCACAGAAACCTGAACAAGAAAATTCCCAAATTCTTCGTCCCCTTTTGTGCCTGAGATTTTCTGGCTCCTGCTTATTAAGTAAAACAGAATATTGTTACCTTTCTGTAATGCTGCCTTGTATTCTTGGATTGCTTTTTAAATAGAAGTTGAAGTCTACCTCTACAAGTCTCACACCTGAAAGAAAGAGTGCTGTTGCACAGGCTCATAGGAAAAGGTAAATGAAAAATGTTTTGACTAGTTGAACATACTTGATTATAGCTTGTCAGTTTAATAATATTGCCACTGTTTAATCTGTACTGAGAGAAAGAAACTGAGTATTTAGAGAAGCATTCTTTTTAAAAAAACCCCCAAGCTAAAGATAATTTTTTTAAAACACTAATGTGCTTTTATGTGATAAAAATTATTTCTTATACATTATTTAAGTAGATATTTTTAATATATATAATTATTTAAGTTATTGAACAACAGCTTCCTTTGCCATATGGACAAATACATTTATCAAATGCTGCAGTATCTAGTCCCATCTATATTTGTTATAGAGAGTGGTTGTCATAGAGTTTAACACCTTGGTAATGGAAATTTTAAAATTCTGTAGTTTGTAAGTATTTGGATGCTTTTCCTATATTTAATAAATATTATTTTAGAAATATCATGTTGTTAAACTGCAAGAAGCATTGTACTACTTTCTTGAAAATTTTTTGCTGTAATTAAGTATTTTTTAATGAAATCCATATAGATGCTGTCCAGTGTACCTGGGTGGAAGCTCTTCACCATATGGGATAGGAACAAATATTTCAAAAAGGTAGGAAACATGAAAAAAATGTTCCACTTGCTTTATCATTAGTTTATTCACAATGGTGTTTCTGTGATGGTACAGAGTTGTGCATTTGAACTGGACAGGACAGCCTTACATTCATCTAAACATGTGGCTGTCTGTAACTGCAGTCTGAAGTCAGCTGGTCCCTTCCAGTCCTCTGCTGTTGACCACTAGATCTTTTGTTCATTTGAAGAGTTGAAGGATGTGTACAAATGAGACATGAGACTCCAGAAATCAGTAACATGTAGTTAAGGAATTGTTGCTGTAAAGTATTGTTATTTTTCCCTGCCTCTCCTCACCTTTTTGTGTGATGCCAAGTATGTGACTTAAATCAGTGGACTGGTTTAAATCATCCCAGAGCCTGAACTGAAAATAACTAGAGTGCTTTGCGACAGAAGCTGAACTTTAGTAGGAGAGGTACTTTAAAGATTTATTCTCAGCATCCTATAGAACATTATTGCATTTCTGTTTGGGATTTTCTGTAGTAAGTAATTGTGCACTTGGTGCATAGTTGGATGCTAGTCAGGTGCCATACCAGTGAGGAAGACCAAAGAGAATATATCAGTTTATTTTCTGTGTTCAGTAAGGTTAGGAACCTATAAAAATAATACATGATTGTATAGTTAAAACACATACCATAATGAATGTGCCAGAGATGTAAAAAAATTAAGATTGCAGGATAACTTTGCTTCTAGTATTTCTGAATAAGCACTGCACTTTGAAACAGTTATGATCTGTGTAGCTTCTCTGACTGTAATAAGCTCTTGGACCTTTCTGTTCTTTTTTGACTAGAACATGTGATGAACTACGTTGTACTGCTTGCGACTTCCGTGTGTCACTTTTCAATGACTACATCTGGGATCAGTCCTGTGATTATCTTTTTTTCAGGTATGTCTGAGGTGGGTTTGGTATTAGCATCGTGTTACTGTGCTTTGGGGCTTGATAGGAATGGGAAGAAAAGTCCTGAGCACTCCTGTGTCACCTCAACAAAAATATGTGTGTAACCTGTTTGGCGATCAGGTGGGAAAGTCTGCAGGGAGAGAGATGCAACATCTCCCATAATCTCCTTTCATGCCTTTCCATTTCTTCCCCCATCACTCTCCCTGTCTGCTTTTAGAAAGAATTCATGTTTCATGGATCAAAAGGCAACTTGACTACTGAAACAGGCAGATAATCTGTGTGATGGGCTGGCCTCTGGTGTGCCATTGCAGGATGCCTGAAAAATGAATGCAGACTGTTCAGCACGTACTTCTCACCATACCTTCACTCATATAGACTGTGATTATTTCAAGTCAGATTTTCTTCCACTATCAAGTATTATGCTGTCACATTCAGTGTAAAATCAAATAGTTTGATTACTCAACAAACTCCTTTTTGCAGCAAGGTTTGATTAAATGGAGGGGTGGGATTTTTGTTTTCTTGTTACATATTGCGATGTCTTGACTTTAATTATTTCAATTTTTGGGAGGGCTTAAAATTAAGGAATTCTTATTTCTAGTTTCTCTAAAACTGTCTAATGCCAGGACTTAGTGAAAGATAATGTAGTAGGCATGCTCCTAATACAGACATTCAATTTGGATTCCTCTTATTTTAATCAAGTCTCTGTCTGTGCCCATTAACTGATGGAGGCAGTGGATGTGTTCAGAGCTTGGCCACCAGGGGGTGGGACAGCCAGACTAGAACAGTAATGGATTATTATTTTTCTTGTATTACACATTAGGTTTTTCCTGGATTTTCCTTCCAGTTTCGAAATTTGTATTTCTCCTTGAATGCAAATCTTATTTTCCTGTTATTTAAAGCAGCATTAAAAATACAGTGCTGCACTAGTCTCTTGAGATGAGTTTGGTAGCTGGAAAGATAGAAATAAAAACATGGTTCTTTTACTTACTCAAAGTCTAAATTAATTCTACCTCTGAGATCTTGAAATTAAAAAAAGGAAAGGCATTAGTATCAGATACTTGATTAAAATCTGTAATCTTTAGCAAGGTATTTAGCTATTTCTTTTGATTAACCTGAATTTTAAAAAGCAAACTTGAAGATTAAACATTTGCCTTCTATGAATAGGTGTCTGACCTCTTTTTCTAAAATTTTCTTTGATGATTTTTTTTGGGGGTTTTCTTCATTGAGCTGGACATATTCATGCTGGTTTTGAGCAATTCAATGGTCAGTAATTGATGGCCAGGAGGTGGTCATGAGGGCAGGGATAGTTAAAATGGTACATTTTCCTTTGTTTTTAAACAACTTGGTTTTATAATAGCTATGATGATTTTTCATTTGTTGTGGTTGATGCTTGCCCAGGGATTATTTGTGGTTTGATGTACATTCCTTCCTTTTATCGGCATTTAATTTCAGTTACTTTAACAACCATCCTGAATAACATCTCCTGATGAAAAGTTTAACACTGTCATTGTACTCATTATGCACAGGGATTTTTACGGTAAGTTTGATAAGATAAATACATTTTTCGATAATTTCTTAACACAAGAATTAACTCTGTGTGGTTTTCTTCCCAAATCTTTCTCTTGAGGCTGACACAGGGTCTCTAAACCCAACAGAGAATATTGCTTACAAAAAGTCAGTCTCCAGTTCATCTGAGAATACAGCAATTACGCAACAAGACTGCTCTCAGGAAAGAAATGTATTCAAAACAGAATTTGAACATATCCCTAAATTCATTCATGACAGTGGTACTCAGAAATATTCAAGAGCTTTTCTGAATTGAAATGGCCTCATTAATCTTTTTTCCTTACAAAAAATGAATGATCCTAAACTGAATTCATTTGATTGGCAGGAATAACATGCCTGAGCTCAGTAAACTAAGAGCGAAGATGATAAAGAAGAAAGGAGCACGAGCATATGCTTGTCAGTGCAGCTGGCGATCCATTGATGAATTAACTGACCTCCAAGCAGACCAGCAGCTTCGGTGGGTTTGTGGTAAACATGCAGAATGAAGTTCTTTAGTGTGTGGTACCTACTTGTGTGGGAGTAGGTCAAACTCAGTTTGTTTCTCACACGGTTTTCTGAGAACAGATGGAAACCTGGATACTTATATCTAGAAATAGATATAACACCCAACTTCAGCCTTTTTGCAATTTAACTGCCTTGCAGGCAATACGGGCAGTTGAATTATAAGAAGAAACAACCAGTTTGGAGGCATTCTGGAAGCTAAATGAGGTTAAAGCTCATACACAGTAGTGTTAAAGAAAGGAAGAGGAAATCAACAGATTTAGGGGTGGGGTAAAGTTCCTTGAGACTGTTCCTCCTATGTAGCAGAGAGCCTTATTTCCCATATCTGCCGAATCTTGGACTCAAAATGGTGGGTTGGGATGCAGCCATGACTCACAAGCATATGAACTTCTGCACATAAATTAATATTGCTGTTCTGCTTTGCTCATAGCTGTTAATGAGCAAGTGATTGTAGATCTCTTAAAAAATTACTGCAAGATCAGTTCTCACCTCAGAGGTTTTAGCACACCCCAAAACTTCACTTTCTTTTACCTACCAATAGCCAAAAATTGCAGGTGCTGGAAATTTCCTTCCAGTTCCCACTGCTTTCTTCAAAGCACTTTCTGCTGACTAAAGACTTTTACCACAGTGAATTTCTTGGACTTCGCTTCAGTCTTCACTGCAGGAGGTGAACAAATTACTGTGTAATTATTAAATATTGTGCAATTTTAAAGAGATTCTGAAGAGTATATGACTATCAATATTTTCAAGGGGGAAAAAAGGCTCAGGCTATTTTAAGAGTGAGAAAATATATATCCCCACTGATGTTCAGATGTGGATTTTTTTTCAGTTTCATTTAGCTTTCATTTCAGCTTCACTTCAAAATACTGTGTATTCAAAAAGTGTAACTGTCTGTTTCAACACATTCCCTTCCCCCAGTAACATCGTAAAACTACTTCCAGTATCCTGTTACTGGTTGGTGAATTGTCTTGATTTCAGCTAATGTCACTATAGTTCATGAGCTCTTTCTTTTCATTATGTATAAATAACACAGGAGACGGATTTGGGTTTTGGGCGAGCAGAGAGGAAGGAAAGGATTACCAGTCCTGGCAATTACTACACCAAAAAGTGTCTCCAAATGGGAGGTCTGTCAGTATTTTTGCTATGCAGTATGTGATATGGTACAGATAAATTAAAAATAAATTACTTTGTGTAACTCTAGCTATACAGATCTATGGGGGGTTTTGTGAAGTTTTGCTCATGGCCCTAATCTGTGCATTGTCAATCTGTTTTTTTTTCCAAAACAATTGCATGGTCTTTCTTATAGAGGTCGTTACTCTGTTGCTTTCTCTGTACCCCTCTGAAAGAGCAGATCCAGGTGCTGACCAGAGGCATAATGTACTCTGCATCCTGCTCACCTTCTCCCTCCATGAATGTTTTTTTAGAACCTGCAGAGGACGTACACAGTGCTCCAGTGCTCTAGAGTTTGTGTTCCAGTGCCACGTGCAGCCTTGTTAGTAGGTTCAGAGGTGAGTGGGCATTGGAGAGGTACCACTTAGTGTAATGGTACAGACATATTTAGGGTCATGTATTGTTTTCAGTGCAACTGGTGTTTCAGACTGAAGTTTCAACTGCTAGAGCCTAAAACAGCAGCTTTGGGAGACAGAGGGACCCAGAGACCAGTTGATTAATGCTCAAGCAGCTACTGGAAGAGGTCTGCTTGCCTTTCTGTCATTTATGAAGAGGTAACCCCTGTGTGGACTGTAAGCAGTAAGTGTTCCTGGGTTTTCTTCAGGGGGAGCTGAGCGATTTCCATTCCTAGAAAACATCAGTCCTAACAGTAAGGGAAGAATCCAGCAGTAGTGTGTAATTTATTAACAGGATCTAGTGAAGAAGAAACCAACTTTCATTCTTCTTGAAGAAGAAGAATGCATTTCAGAAAGTGTTGAGTTGCCTTGGCTTGCCTGTTGCAAGGCCATTTGAAATTGATGACCAAGTATCACCACAAGGTGCTCTTTTGGCCTGGATTTGCACTGGAACTTGTGCCACAATGTAGGCAAGTTGGGCTTGCAACTTGTGAGCAGGAAACGGGGAAAATCCTAATGCCCATCTCAGTTCATGAGACAAAGTCTTACATGACTCGGAAAAGGAACGTGTATCCTGTACCCTGTTTTAAACAACAGAAATAGTCACCCTCTCTGAACAGTTTTGTACTACCAACTGCGTGGAGTAAATCATGCAGAAACAAAAGTTCAAGACATCAGTTCTAGTGATTTTTATGACAACAAGATGGCCTGCAGCACTTGGAAAGTGGAGGCCAGGAAGGAAGTGAGACACAAGGACTGAGTGTAGGAGAAATAAAGGGATTAACACCAGTATCTACTGACAGCATTAGTCAGCATTTCTCCTAAATCACCTCATCCCTCAGTCTTCTGTTAGCATGGAGAGTTGTAGAAAGAGCTCTCTTTCTGGGTAGAGATTGATGTCAGTCAGTTGTGTTGTTAATGCCATTAAGACCATGCTCCAAGCACTGAAAATGTTAGAAGATAATCTTTATTGGTAAATGTATGTGGAAACATGAGCATTCCCCTGAAACCATCGTGTTTATTCAAGTGTAGTTACTTGTTTCTGGCCTTGGTCAGAATGGTGGGCTATGTCAGCTCTTTGTCCAAGGGAAGTTTTAAACAGGTGCAGAAATAGTGCTTATTGTATTGGTTTTCATTACAGAATTTAGCAGATTTCTAGATCTGAGAACAGTTACTATGACATTAAATATAATCAATTTGCTGGAAAAAGGAGTAGTATTAAGTGTTCCCTTTCTTTGCTTTCTTCAGTTACATGTTACAAACCACTCCAAAGTCCTCAAATGAAAAGAATATAAAGAAAGGTAAAATTAGAGCTTGAATGTTCATTTGATGAAGGTATTGTAATATTGCACAAGGTTTGCAAGATGTATCGCTTTGGGTCTGGGCTACTTCCGTGTCAGTTATCTGAGATAGCAGGGATTATGTAAAGAATTTTGTTGAAGAATGCCATTCAGCTGTTTTCAAACAGAAGTACTGGAGAAGTTTTGCTAAGTATAAATGTGACCATTGTTTTCCTCCAGATTTTGCTTTAGAAGTAATAATACCATTTCTGTTTGTGAAATGGGCAAGGTGAAAACTTGAGACTTTCATTTTGCTTAGGTGATATGCTTGGAAATTTTCTAGGCTGCGGTATTAGTCTGCAGCAGATCAAAAGCAATGAAGAATGACAAAATGAGAATCCACGCAAAAGCATTCACTTGGAAATTTAGTCAGTGGTTTAATGTGATACTAGCTTTTCTAAATCTGTGTTCCTGCAGTACTTCTGGATAGAAATCCAATTCAGATGTACATAATACATTTTTAGAGCTTTTGGTTGTCAAACTTCAATGTGCTGTTCTGACTACCTCTCACTTGTTTTACCTGCAAACCATGGAGTGTGTCCAACCCAGATGCTGAATACAGCTCAGAAGAGTAATTATTAAAGAGCTTGCCCTGCCATTAAATTGAACTTATAGAAGCATAACAGCATTACATACTGCAAGCTCTGCTCTATATAAAATTCAATAAAGATGCTGTTTTTTTCTGAGCACCCATTTCAGTTCTGTACTGAAGGTATTCTCAAATGCTAGGCACTGTAATTTGCCACTTGTGAAAGACTGCTCGCTTCTCTTGTTTCCTGACATGTGAGTCTTTGGGTCACGTAACCAGTACATGTGGTCGTCACACAATAGGAGAGGGACTGTGTTGGGTGTTGCATGGGCAAATTTTTCTTCGTGCCAGACTTTCTGCACAAGACCTAACCAGTTTTGTCTGTTGTGTGACACCTGATAACTGCAGACAGGCCCACCCATGGGGGATGGAGTAAAGGAGTGTCAGGTGCTGCTCATTTGTGCGGGCCACATATGATACCTGGGACTTGGCGCGTGTGCTTCAAGGAAAGTATTTTTCAAATGTCAACGCTTCAATAAAATAAAAAGTTGGAACAAGTCTGAACTGTATGTTGTGTAAATTCTATTGTGCTGTTCCTATCCAAAAGAAGCCTTATAAAAATGATGCAGAACCATGTTTTCTCTCAGAAGGGTACTCTTAGTACAAAATATTGTCAAGCCTTTAAAAAACAATAAGTACTAGTACAATAAGTTTTCTCACATCAATGGGGATGCAGCAAACACCTAAGAATTAAATGAGTTTAACATTCTTTACCAGATAACATGAGGAGACTGCACTGAATTATAGAGAACTCCTAAAGGTGGATGCATTTACCACATTTCTTGGATGTTTACCTAGGATAAAAGGTGGTGACATAAACTTCTTGAGAAGTGGGATGCTGGTACCTTTTGTATCAGTCAGGGCAGGTTATCAGTAGCATCATACTGGTCACTTAGGGAGATCAATCAAGGAATCACAGGATTTGCCATCCCCTGGATTTTGCTGTAGAAAACCCTTCTTAGTACCAGGAAGAAGTTGCTCTACATATGGGAGTTGGAAAAAAATCTTGTTTCTTCATCATGAAAAAATGCTGTGTGTTATACATTAGAGTAACAGACATAAATATTTCCTATATTACATACTGAATTTGGATGCTATTCAGGCATTAATTATATCCCAGATTTAGTGGGCAGTGTGGTCTCAGTGAGAACACAGAAAACACTCACTGGCTCCTGACTTACCTTATTTATGGCATGCAGTGCCAGAATACATCGTTAGAAGATAATGCCCATGTACATTAATTCATATTGACAACTTCTGTTAGATGTGCTTTAAGAGTAATTTGGAGTAGGATGTGATTATACAGTCTAGTCTGCAGGGGGCAGAGCAACACCGCTGTTGACAGTTCAGGCTTCTGATTCACTAATACAAGCTCATACTCAATTTTTTCTGGAATAATGAAGGCTTACATTTAACTGACCAAGACTTTTTGCATTTGTCTCCTACTAGTGTGATTATAAGTGTGGTAGCTGGAGCTGTGGCAACTCCGCTTGATTTTTGTGTGACTTCATCCAAATGGTCCTCAAGTGGTCCTTGACCAATACTGAAGCAGATTTAACTTTTTTAGCTGCCAGCTAAAGCAGCATAAAATTATGTGTGTGTGTTTCTCCTCTAATAACATCAGCGGAAAAACTAAATTGCTTCAGGATTTACCTTTCACCCTGCCCAAATAAATTTTCCCTGAAAATGTTAAGTAGTTTTGGCAAGTAGAGGTTGTATATGTTAGGAGCTTCTAATGTTAAGTACAAAATTTATATGGAACTCTTCTGGTTCTTTGGGAATGTATAAAGCAGATTTCTAGTGGAGGGGAGTAAATGTGATCGCCGATAATCAGTGATGTCTATTTCTGTAGAAGTGATGAGGTGCTTTTAACTAGAAACATAAATATATCTAAACCATGAAACTAGAGTTTGCTTATTTTACTGGTAAAATAGGGAGCATCATCTAAATTCAGTCTAGTTACACCATAGGTGAGGTCTTTCATGCTTCATATTTTACTTCCTTCCTTCTAATAGGAGAAATAGTTGAATAAGAAGTTTAATAGAGAAAACAGGAACAGACAAGGCTGAGTAGCACACTGTGAGAGGTTGCATACAGAAAAGTTTTGTGAAAACATTTTTTTCAGGCAAGGAATAAGCCATTGGTTTTTGTTTGCTTCTAAACTAAAGATGACAGACCTAAGTGAAAGAAATAGTGAGAAGCTCAAATGCCCACAATTTTCCAAAAGCAAGAAGAAAGCTTCATATGGGAGGTGTCCTTTCTCGGAGCTTTTAAGATTGCAATTCCAGGGGCTGGCCCAGAAGATGGGGGTGAATGCACCCCCAAATCCACTGCCCTTCAGTCACTTCCATCCCAGAAATCTGAGCTGTGTAGGGAAGCAAAGGGCAGGAGGCATTTCATCCGCAGAGGGTACCTGCTTGCTTTACCACATGAGGATGCTGTAGAACATGTGAGCTGAGTATGTTCATTTGGGTTTGGGTTTTTTTTCCTCTAGAGTTTGTGTGAAGGGTTTCCTGCAGTATTTTGAAACCTGCTTTCTGGTGATAGGCTTTTAGATACAAGAGCTAAGATAGTCAGATATTATATTTAAATATTATAGTCAGATATTTAGATAGAAGAGCTAAGATATTCAGGGCTGCTAAAAAATTCTTAGCCAGTGGTTTATAACTGTTATTCAAATATAAGCAAATGATCTTGACATTTTTCATGAGAATTTAGTGAAACTGAAACCCTTACAGTCTCAGAGCTTATGCTAAAGAACGGGGAGGCAGAGAGGAGGAAGACATTTTCATACTGGTCAAACAAATGCATAATATTCCAGCTCCAAGTACCTTAAATAAATCTATTTTAAAATGTAGTTGTCTACAGAGAAAAAAAAATGTTACCTAGCTCCTGAATGGTGGTAGGTTATTTATAAAATATCCATAGAATTTTTCAGTCTCTACTTAAAGGCAAGCAATATGGCCTTACTGTAAGACAATGCAATATATGTGATCGTAATGAAATACAGTATATCTTTCAGCTAAATGCTAAGAAGTTTTGGGACATTCAGCAATCTGACCATGCTTAGAACCCCCCGTTCTGACTGCCCTGATGTAAACAGCATTCACAGGAAGAGGGAAGCAGCTACCAGAGACAGGAAGGTTGAATTTAGCATCAAACTTATCTAGGCAGAGCGGGCTGCTCAGGATGCTGGTAAGAAGTGTACAAATTGCTACAGCAGACTGTGATAGCTTCCTGGCCCTTCCTGGGAAGACCCATTCACATCAATGTAATCAGGGTACAATCTTGCGCATGCAGATGGTTTAGGAAGAGATTATATCCTGGGGCCAGTTATCCAAAATAATGATTACCATGGTCTATTGCAGTCTCATTCACTCTCAGTTACTGTCATCTGCAGGAAGAGATTTATCTGCATGATGAAGTAGGAGAGTGCATGGTTTTAAAAATAAAAATGTTATTATTAGTCATATTACCCCTAAAGAAATATAAACCTTTCCTGATTCCTACTAGGCACTGCAATATCTGGTTTATATCAGAGCTGGCACAACTCTGATTCCAACACTTCAGAGATAAAAGTTGTTGTAGTATCGGTTTGTGTGCTTTGAATCATTGAGGCCTCTTGTTTACAAGTGGAAGATAAACAGCTTCAAAACATTCTTTGCAGCGTTATCGGTTGCTCATTAACGTATGATGCCATTTCCTTTTGATTTCTGTGTGTATCTCAGGAAATCCATCTGCTCTGAGCCTACTGCGCAACAAGGCACCATTCAATCAATACATGCTCCTCAGTGGCTGAAATGAAGAGTTAACACAAAATTGTAGTGTCCTCTGTGTTGATTTTCCTATGAATGATTACTCATATCTCTGGTCTTCCCTAAAGTATACTGTAAAATTATTTCAGATTTTCTCAAAACTTTATTCAAGCTAAGACTGAGACCTGGAAACACTTTAAAGTAGTCTTTTAGTTGCATCTTCCTACATGTCCAAAACACCTCTTTTCATTTTTACTCTTTTTTCCATGCTAGATATATATTTAGTTCAATTCCCATGAGGAAGGCTGGAAACAATTAAACTATGAAAAAGGAGAATGGTATAAAGGAGTCTACCCATGTCCTGAAGAGCAATAAAACAGATCTGTCCTGGGTAATTGCAAATCCTGCATTTGAATTGCTGAACAAGTTAAGCCAAAAAGATATTGGGGCCCATCTGTTCTGCAGACTGAATGTGGGTACTGCACATCACCGATCTCCTGAGCACAGGAGGATATGGTGACACATCGTCAGCAGTCTTAGCACCCAGAGGATACAGCCAGGTGCTTCATGCCAAGGTTGCTAGTGTAAGCTAAAATCATTAATCGCTCTGTTTTTACAAAAGACTTTTTTCCCCCATGGTGTATTGGAAATCCCTCCTAAAACCTGGAGAGCATTACTTCTTTATAAAGAATATGTTTGTAAAGTGGATAATTTCCAGATGTCAAATCCTTACTCAGACCTTGCAATAACAATTCACTACTTGGGGTTCTCGGCCAGTGCTGGGCATGTGGTTACCTTGGGTATTTTCAGGATCCATCTTAAGGCAAATGACACCTTTAAATAGGGGAAAAACGAACAGCCTAATAGGCACCTCATGGCAGAGAGCACCTCATCAGGTTTGTCCCAACACATTCTCACGTCATTGTTCGATAGGGTAACAGGCCATAAAAGAACTAAGCAGCTACTTTCCTTTTCTGTCAGATGTTGCAAGTTACTCATATTTCC